GGCACAAAACCGTCATGGTTTACTTGTTGACACGGTAACGTAGTAATCTGTGACGCCATATCTCCCGCAGCCGAAACGGCTAAATTTTAGGTTCGGTGTTAAAAAGGTTTTTCAACTATGTATTTTGACTCTGACTGGCATGCTTGAAAATTGAGCTGCATCCAGCTTGCTACCGAACAACCACCTTCTGAAAATGAGAACTGTCAGTAGCCTTTTCACGTGTAACTCACGTGTCTGCTTGTTACAGAATTTTCTGGGCGTCATCAGGATTTACTGATTGCAGGCTAAGTACTTAAATGAATCTGATTAGAAACTTGATTTTAGTGAGCTATGGAATTGCGATTTTTATTTGTTGATTGTTGACGGACTTATCTTTGTCGAAATACAGGTTGTACACATGTGATTCTAATTTCTGTTCTTATTGTTTCAGACATTTGTTACTGCTTAGTCCCGCACGTATTTAGCATTGTTTGGAGCTGTTTCGGTCGGGCAAGCTTTTCCTGATCCTCTTAGGGCAGTGATGCTGCACATATCTGCATACCGAATGTTTCTTGTTATTGGCTTATTAAATTCGTCATTGTCTGCTAAATTTAACTCCTCCTGAATTCCTTCAGGGATAACTTTTGAAACTTTACAGTAGTTGCGTCTAGCAGTATAGAATTTTGTACAGAATTATAAGCAGCTTACAATTTTTGTGATTTTTTTCTATGCGCAGTGCCGCAGTTCACTGATTGTGCAGCTCGTCTGAGCATTTTCCAGCTAAGCGTTGTGCATTTCCTACAGTGAGTTAAGAAAAATAACTCAGGAAATGCACTGGCTATGTTCTGCCTGACAAGTTAAATACCCACCAGGAAATGCCATGGAAAAGTCAAAAATGCTTTCCTCTTGGTCCACTTTAAGCTCGAGTTACGTGTTGTAGAAGTTTGACATTTGGTATTTCAAATAGAAATTTGAGATTGATTGTTTGCGGTTGGTGCTTCACTGGATCTTTAGTGTAAGGGCAGTTGGTCATCCACCCGCTCCCAGTGCAGTGCGGACATTGAGGCTTGCCTTTTTCATTTGTATTCTTTTGTATCCCGGTGCTTTCTTGCAATTCTCGCTTTACATATGGGGATTGTTCGTTTGCCATTGCAATAATTGTTACGTGCTCTCATTATTTTCAAAAGCGTATTCCAAAGCTTTAATTTGCTTTAATTTTGTGCTGTATAATTAATTTTGGCGCATTTCTTGTGTCATCTTGCTACCCTGTGATCATATGCATTACAGTCCTCTGTATGCGTTTTCTGTATTGCATGTACATCTGCCGTATGTATGCCTATCCTCCTCAACATACGCATCTGCTGCACACGTTTCCTGTTCGAGCGTTTTTTTTGGTCATGCTTTTTTTTGATTTTTTCTTCTATCTTCCGTACATCCAGTACTTGGATAGGAAAGCAGCTGGACCTCCTATTTTGCTCTTCCTGCCTTGCTTCCGTTAGTTTTGAGCCCATTTATCATTCGACTTTAACTTAGACTTTTATGTCCAGTTTGCCGTTTCATACTAGATTTTACTTGTCGTTGATCACATGTTCGCCCAGTCTTTTCATCTTAGTTTTACTGCTTTTCTCGTTTACACAAACGATTTTGATTCTTGGTTAAAATTGCAAAAACTTCCTTTCTCCATTTAGTTGATATCTTCATATTTGTAATTTTAATATGCATTCTACAGTGTAAAACGTGCCAGTTGAAGTTTTAATTTTGTTTTTACTCATATTTGTGGTATATATACATGCATATATATATATATGTATATACATACATATGTACATACATATATATATATATATATAAGCTGGGGTTCTCCATCCAGGTTACACTGTCTCCTCAGTCCTACATTTGAC